GCCGCAGTCCTGAGCGGCTCCAGGCTGCGTCCCTGAAAGCCGAGCTAGGTCGTGGGGTCGGAGACCCTCCGCCCATAGCCTCCATGTGGCTGGTTTCCATGGCGACGGTGCAGGGCCAAGTCCGGGGACACTGGTCCCAGCACTGAACAGCTATTGGGACGGTCTCTGGGAGCTGGGTCACTCCACACCAGGCTCGGGTTTGACTCAGTCGGAGGCGCGCAAACCCGACCTCGATAATTTTTGCAGTCTGATTATTTTTAAGTTGACACTGTCGTCTGCTTTCTTCCTCATTGGCTGCCGCCTTGTCACCCTCAGCCCAGTGTGAACCCAGATCTTGCCTGGAGTTTGTACGAAGGGAGGGAGACATGACACCACGGGCCGATGTCTCATTCAGGTGTCGAGGGCCGGCCGTGTTCCAGGCTCTGCCGTGGGCAGAGCAGCCGTGCCCTCACAGAGAGTGTGCTGTCGCATGGGGACACGGGGTTAAGTAAAATGGATTCGTACGGCCCGTGGCACGGCAGGTGGAGGAGGGTGTTCAGGCCCCGCCTCAGGGACACCTGAGACTGCAGAGGGCTGTCCTGGCCTCCAGCACCGTCTGTCCCTCTGCCCCTTCGCCTGGTACTGCTGGTGCCTCCGCAGCTGCTGCCAGGAGGGGAGAGAATGTGGCCTCGTGAGCTCGGACGCCGAGTGGCGTTCTCACTCCGTCCGTGGCCCGCTCACAGCACGCACCTGTGAGCGTGCGCCGTGCACCGGGCCTCCGAGGCGGTGGGGCGGAAGGGTTCGGGTGTTTGCTCCTTGGAGGGGCTGAGGGCCACACGCATGCCTGTCTCCATCGTCACACAGCGTGGCGACAGCTCTAGTGTGGTGCGGACCTGCAGCGTCACCGGGACTTGTCAGATGGTGGACGCCCAGGTTCTTGAGAAAGAGGCTGCGTCTTAAATAGGGGGACTCAGTGCACGTGGAGGTCTGAGGAACGTTCTGTGGGACACGCGAGCCAAGTGCTGTGGGGACGGAGGGAGGGGCCGCCACACCTGCCCAGAGCGGCTCACGTCGAAGTCCGGATTTGAAGGACGCATAGAAGGGGCGGAGGTGGGGGCGGCGGGCATGAGTGGTGGATGACATGTGAGCAGGGACCGGGTGAGGGATCCCCGCATCTGGGGACCGGGTTTGGAACAGAGCGTAGGGGGCGGGGCAGAGGTAGAAGATGCAAGAGCTGAGGCCGGAGAAGGCACTAGAGCCACATGGCGAAGAGGAGTGACTCGGCCGGGCGCACATGGCGGGCTCTCCTTC